CCTCAGGCACATCTTTGCTGCTGCTGTTAGGGTGAGAAAAGGACTAAGACAGGGATCCCTTTCTGCTCTGGTTGCTCTGCGTTATCCCAGCAGCAAGGTGGACAGTTAGACCAAGAAGAATGCAACAAAGAGGAGGCTGGAGATCTACCCTCCAGCCAGCAGGCAGGGGTATATGTAGGGCCTTAGCTTTACTGCATCCCGTATGTACCCTAGAGAGGACAAAATGCTGGGCTCAGCCCAGGAAGGCTCTAGAAAACCAGCCAATGCCCGGGTCGCACCTTCGTGCTCAGGGTAAAACCACGGGGATTCAGGGGGTGATACTTAGTCATCTTCCTGTAGCTCCCCTGCCCTGGGACCAAGCAGGGTGGCTCCTCATAGTAACAGCATTGAGTCATTAAGTCATTTACCTGTTCACCTCTCAGCCATTTCTGAAGCAGACCCATATCCTGCTTTGAGGAAGCTCAGAACTTCTATCCCCCAACGTTTCCGGTACTGCTGACTTCCCAACAGGATGAAGGAGGCCTTCTTCTGGAATCTGAGCGTGATGTGGGGAGGCCTCCGTGCGACAGCGTCCAGCGGAGGGCAATGTTTGCAGCCTCTGGGTTTTGAGTGTCCCCCCAAGCCTTGGAGTAGAGAAGACTCTCCTTTGCCCTGTACCCCCCACACCTTGTCCCCACCCTGTGCCTTCTCAGCTGAGGCCAGGCTGGAACAGAATGTCCCGGCCTCTTTAACTGTCGCCCCAGCAACCGTACCACAAGTCAGACCTACATAGATGCTTCCACACAGCTGTTAATTAATAGACACACTGTAGGGACACAGAAGAAAGTGGTTATAATTCTGGCCTGGGGAATCAAGAGAAACTTTGTGAAGGAGGGAAAAGGTGGACCAGGCCTGAGAGATGGCTAGAACATTGACAGGGGCTGAGGGAACTTTGTCAGCAAAGGCTCGGAGGCAAGAACAAATGAGGGCTGAATGCATTTTGATACAGGCCTCAGATGGCTCCGTGACTTAGGACAAATCACTTCCCTGTGCGTGGTTGAAAGCACGTGGTTTTGGAATCCCAAAGATCTGGCCGTGTACTAAGCATGTGACTTTAGATAACTTGCTTAACCCCTCTGAGCTTCAGTTTTCTCACCTGTAAAATAGAGATGTAACCGCCTACAGTGACCATTTCACAGAGTGTTCGAGCTTTGAATACGTTATCACATAAAGCAACTCGCTGCCTGCTCGGTACAAGGTGGGCAGTACCTGCCGTGTCTCCTCCTGTTCCTTCCTTCTTTTGGCCTCCATTTTTCCTTCCCTAAAATGACGAGAAGCTGCTCTGCCCCCATCTCACTGACATTCTTCTCAGGGGACTGGTGGGTCCCCTGAGAGAGCCCCATTGCTCAGGAGCAAGCAGCACGGGGTGGGACTGGGGAGAACAGGGCATGAGCTAGGCGGGCATCAAATATACACGATTTCAGGCTTCCCTGATGGCGCAGTGGTTGAGAGCCTGCCTGCCGATGCAGGGGGCACGGGTTTGTGCCCTGGTCCGGGAAGATCCCACATGCCGCGGAGCGGCTGGGCCCGTGAGCCATGGCCGCTGAGCCTGCGCGTCCGGAGCCTGTGCTCCGCAACGGGAGAGGCCACAACAGTGAGAGGCCCACGTACCGCAAAAAAAAAAAAAAACAAACAAACACAATTTCCCCAATCAGAGGTGCCTTTAGACCACATCAGGAGGTGAGGTATCAGCGGAGAGCTAAGGATGGAGCTGGGAACCAGCAGGCAGAGGGAAGGAAGGGATAGAAGAGAGCCAAGTTGTTTTTCATTTGCAGAACTTCCAGTTCCGGCCAAATAACATCTTTAAATACTATTGACATGACAAAGCTAAACTTCTTGGCTTGGGCTTGAATTTTTTCTGTTCTTTTTTTAAATCCCAAATTGCAGAATGTGTCTGCTTTAGAACTGTGTCTGCCAACCCAGTCCTTTCTGCCCGCAAGGGTCCAGCTTGGAGCTAGTCCAGTTCGCCAAGGTCAAGGAGTGATTACCTTCGCTCCAGCAATGCACACTTGGGGGAGGAAGTTGAATGCTGGGGAAGGCCGGGCAAGCAGGTTCTTCTGGCGGAAAGCGAACCTCCTGGACACCCTCTCTCCTATCACTCTCCCACTCCTGTTTTCCTTCGTCCCTGTGTGTGTACCATGCCTGTGTGCTGTGTCTGATGGGGGTGGGTGAGGACATGTTCCAAACAGGGAAGCATTTCCACATCTGTCTGCAGCTAGGACTGCAAGAGTCAAGTGAAATTGAGAAAGTAAGCAATCATTCCAGTTCTTCAGGTTTTAAGCTACTTCCACCTAAAATAACCAGGTAATTGAGGTTGGAGTGGGTGGTGTATCTTCTACTCGAATTGCCGCCATTTTCCCGTTCACTTTGTGTGGATAAGACATAGCAGCATCCAGGTCAGGGAACACAGATATTAAATAAGGCACATAGATAAAGATAAAGTTTCCCACCCCAGTCTCTTAACAGGTGGCACGTTTAGTCATTTCGTCAAAACAAACATTTGTCTTGCAAGAAATATTTCTTGGGCAAGACCCCATGCTAGGTATTGCAGATACAGTCATGACTAAGCAAACCCGGTCTTTGCGCAGAGGGAGTGTATATCTTGGAGAGGGAAAAAGATAAAAATAAGTAAATGAACAAATATGATCATTGGAAACTATAGCAAAGGTCAGAATGAGTCAAAACCTTTTCTATGCTTGTTGTAAGCAATGTTTGGCAACTGTCCACAAAAATAATTAACACTCTTGTGTGAAGTCGGATCTGCCTGTGATCAGACCTGGTTACTCATCCCATCACCACCAGCAGCCCCTCCCCAGGTCAAGGGCTCCACTCAAGGCTGTACTAAGTTAACGGGTTTGCAGGGGAAACCAGCGACTCTGGCATGAGAAGCTCTGAGCCTACGGCCTCTAATAGCTGAACGACCGTGAGCGAGTTGCTTTGGTCTCCTTTTCCTCATCCACAAAATGGGCATCACAGTTCACCCACCAAACCGCAGAGTCCTTATGAGGACCACGGTGTACGCTACGCGCTCTGCAAACTGTAAAACTCTAGAGAGAGGACATGGTGTTGAGAAGGTTTCTCCACAAAGAAGTTGAGTAAACCTAAGAGGGAAAGAGAGAGGAAAGAAGATGTGGGGAGGGGAGGGAAGTAGAGCTCAGGACTGCACGGCCAGTGAACTATTTAACCCTTCCCCCGAAACAACCTATGGGACACAATCATCCTCATCTGTATTTGGGGAAACTGAGGCACAGACAGGTCAAGGAAGCCACACCACTAACCTGTGGGAACCTGGGGTTTGATCTGCCCATCTCCAAACTCAGATCTTTCTTTTTTTTTTTAATTGAAGTATAGTTAATTTACAATGTTGTGTTAGTTTCAAGTGTACAGCAAAGTGATTCGGTTATACATGTATATATTCTTTTTCAGATTCTTTATAGATTACTACAAGATATTGAGTAGAGTTCCCTGTGCTATACAGTAGGTCCTTGTTGTTTATTTTATATACAGTAGCATGTACCTGTTAATCGCAAACTCCTAATTTATCCATCTCCCCTCCCCGCTATCCCCTTTAGTAACCATAAGTTTGTTTTCTATGTCTGTGAGTCTATTTCTGTTTTGTAAATAAGTTCATTTGTAACATGTTTTTTTAGATTCCACATATAAGTGATGTCATATGGTATTTGTCTTTCTCCTTCTGACTTCACTTAGTATGATAATCTCTAGTTGCATCCATGTGGCTGCAAATGGCATTATTTCGTTCTTTTCATGGCTGAGTGGTATTCCATTGTGTGTGTGTGTGTGTATGTGTATACACACCACATTTTCTTTATCCATTTATCTGTCAATGGACATTTAAGTTGCTTCCATGTCTTGGCTATTGTGAATAATGCTGCTGTGAACATTGGGATCAGAGCTCGACTATTTACCACAAAGCCATAGCCAGAGCAGGAGAGGAAGACACCAACCCCTTTTTGATTTGAACTTGATGCTTTGAGTGTCAAATGGGGCCTTCCCAGGAAATGCCACAGATAACTCTTTTAAAAGGAAGGCTGAGACCAAACCACCACAACTTTAGGGAATTGAGGAGGTATTGGAGCTTCTTTTTTTATGGATGAAAAGAGTCAAAGGCTCTGGAAAGTTTAAGGTGACTTGGCCAAAGCCATGTGACTGGTTAGTGATGGCATCAGAGAAAAGAAAAAAGGAAGGATAGACTGGTTAATGTTTTTCAAACTGTAGGTGCTACTCACTAGTGGGTCATTAAATTCATGAGTTGGTCGTAAGTGGGAGTTTAAAAAAAATGAACTAGCATAGGATAGAAAATAAAGCTCGTTGTACTTGGTAGAGGGAAGTACCATTTGTGAAACTTTTCAGTTCTGTGTGTTTGCTTGTGTATATGCAGAGCCTGAATGTAAAATGCCCGTGGATCCTAGATAGAACCCTCTGAACGCCTCCAGACAGGAGGGTGAGCTTGCAGAGGAAGAGACCCGTGGGACTGACAGGAAGTTTGAGCAAAATCCGAGTTGCTCCTCCAATTCAAGCAAAACAACTCTAAAATAACCACAGGGCCTATTTTTAGCATGTGCCAATACTACCTTTCCTTTGCTCTCTGGCCTAGACCACAAGAGCCCATCCACAGCACGCTCTGCTCCTGGGGAGCCGAAGGAGCCCAAGAAATCTGTCCCACAGGCAGGAGGCCAAGGCCAGGCTCTTATCTAAACCCCAAGGCTGTTTCCCGTTCCTTACTTCCCCTGCCTGCCTGGGGATTAGAGCAGGTCCTCGGAAACAGGGAACAGCATCCTTCACAACAGGATGTTGCGGAGGAACCACAAACTGCTACTCTCTGAGTCAGGCCACCAGTGAACCAGGCTCTGGACCTGCTTAGTCACTGCAGGACACCTTAACCCTTCAGGGAACAAGAGAAGACACAGCTGAGGGCCTGAAGGGAGGATGCAGGGGATCTTTCCAGCCTGTGACCTTATGGATGGACCTTCCACAGCATCAGGGCCCAAGTTTCTGCACCTGGAGCCCATCTAGCAGGCAAGGCTTGGGGTGGGGCATAAATGGCATTTTAAGGATTCCTCCCACGTCAGAAGGCACGCTCAGGCATGTGTATGTGTGTGTGAGTCTGTGTGGCAGGGGGATGGTGTGGGCAGAAGAAGCTAGAATCATCAATAAACTTAAGAGGAAGCACCAGGAACCTCATCCCTGGACCATGGGAGGGGCTGGCAAGGGCCCTGCTATTAGATAGCGGCAGTGCCAACCTCTGCCTTTGAATGTGTGTGTGAAGGGGGTATGAACAGTGGGAGTAAAGCGAAGATGAAACCATTCATAATACCAAGGAAAACTGTCAACCCTGAGCATAGATTATAACCTAAGAGCCAACCAAGTGAGAATAGAAAAAGTAAACTTTTGTCTGAGTTGTGTAAAAGGAACACAGAATCAGTTTCAGAAACTGCTCACCATTTCCATATAGCTTGATAATGACGATGCTTGTCACTCAGGCTTATGTAAGACTGACTTTGGTGTAGGTGTATCTGACTACATTAAGCTCTACTCATTGGTGATCAGGCTTCAGTGACTGTTGCTCCTGAGACAGAGCTGCTGTGCTCAGAGCTTACAGCATCCCTAATGTGAGAGACCCAGAGAATCAGTTCCAGTCACTGTCCAGCCCCCGAGGACAGCCTCCTTGGGAGAGAAGCGAAGGGAATGTGGCCTGCGAGAGGTGAAGCCCAATGCCCAAGTGTCCTGACTCCCAACCCCAAATCCGCAAGTCTGAGCTGGCTGTTCATAATCCCCCTCCTTACACCCCAGTTCTTGTGGGAAGGACTCCTAGGAAAGAGATTCCTGAGAGAGAGACTCAGGGAGCCCCTGAAGCATGGCCAAGGCTACCTTGCAGCTAAAGACATGCAAGGATCTGTCTTAAAGACCGCAGCATCCAATGAGTGATACGCACCAGATTTCCAATCCCAGATCCTCTCCTTAAAAACTTGACAAAGTCACCTAATCTTTCCAAAGTTCATTTTCCTCATCTCTAAAAAGGAGACTGTGAGGGTGAAATGAGAACAGTGATCAAAGCTCCAAGCCCAGTGCTGGCAGAGTGAACCCACACTGGCCTTCTCCCTCTTTGTAAGGTTGGCATTGATTTAGAGCTGACCCTCAGGGCAGGGAGGCCCAACTGCTTGCTGCCTCAAGTTCTCAAGGTTCAGGGTGGTCTCCTGGCAGCTGGGGTTCCCAACTCAGTGAGGTCTGAGACTTCCCCTCCTTCCAGCACGGCCTCGGGGGAGCTAACAGGCCCCAGCAGGCAGAGACTGGCTGCCATAGCTCCAGAGCAATTGTGGCTTGGAAAGAATCTCTGGCATGTGTCACATCGGCCCGCACAAGCCATGATCCATGGTGTGCTGGAGAAGTGCTTTGTTCCGGGGCCAAGGGGTCAGTTTGTAGGAGGGTCATCCATGGGTCTCCATGCTGGACAGCTCCCCTCGCCCCTCGATCCCCACCCCCCGTCCTCACACCAGCTGCTCCGGATCACCCGTCCAGCCAGGGAGACTGTGCAGCTTGTGCCTGGGCCCAGAGAGGGCTGTGCGTGAGCTGTGACTGTGGGGCAAGGCCGAGGCATGGTGAGGAGGGTCTGCTCACCTGGGAGACCTGTAGGGACAGGAGCTGGTAGGGAAAGGGTGGTGGGAAAATCTCAAGAACCAAGTTTTCTCAGCTTGTCACTTGGTCGCATTAGGATCCCATGCAAGTCATGGGGCCCCGGTTTCCTTATTGGCGGAATGAAGGGGTTGGACAAAACAACCTCTAAGGTCCCATCTAACTTTACTATTGGGTGCCGTAAATTCCTGTCTTCTTACTAGGCCCACAGTTCTCCCATCAACAGGTCAGCATGTTGAAGCGGATGGGACAGGAACAGGATGGGAAGAGGTGTAGGCAAGAGGTAAATGCAGATGGTTTGGTTCTCCCAGTCAGAAGACTGGTCTGTACAATGTAATTTTCTTTCTTTCTTTTTCTGTAAGTGGGTTTATTTTCTGTCTCAAGCCCCTGTTCTGGCTGATGCAGAAAAACTAGTAGAGTTACTTCCAGGTAACCCAGTCACATGAGTCATTTTCTCAAACATTTCAGTACTCAGCTCTATTAAATTCAAGAATTCTGTCCTCATTCCCTCCCTGGAGTTGATGCTATTGACCACATCTGTGGAGAGAGGAAGGCTACACCTCTGCTACATCTGCCCCAAGTCCTCCTTTGAGATGGAAGGTGCTCCTGTCTGGTCGTCAGACATGCCCTCCCCACCTCCGGCCCCATAAACTGGTACACGCACCCCACCCGCCCCCCGGCCGGGTGCTCCATGTTGCTGCCCACTCTCTATATTGTGCCCTGTTTCTGCTAAAGGCCCACTTACAGGCCTGCAGCTTCCTCGTGATCACTCTCTCAAGTCTTGATTCCATTCCCACTGCAAGAGCCTGAGAAACCTGTGTGTGCGGGGCAGGGCCGGGGGGGGAGGTGATGGGGAGTGAGGCGGGGGGCGTTCTCTGCCAAGACCTGCCACACTGCCACTCCTCCGTAGCTCTGTAGCTCACCATGGTGGCCGAGAGGACTCCCTGAGGCTCACCATCCTCCCTGGGCTCCCAGAGAAGTGAGGCACAGGGGCTCACCATGCCTGGACTCCATCCTTACAGGACTGATCTTTCATTTTCCCCACCCTAGGATCCAGGAGAGGACTGGACCTTGGAGGTTCATCTAGCTCTCCAAACTCTCTTCCTCTTTTCCAGGTTAGGGGTGTTGGTCTGGGGTGCAGTGAGGGGTGAGGAGGAATGTTTAAAAAAGGAAAGATTTTACACATCTCATATCACATCTCCTTTTCGTGTTTCCTCTCTCATTCCTGGATCAAAGCCTTGGGCCTCCAAAGCCAAGCGCTTGTTGTGTTGGCTGTCTGGCTCCTTTAAGACCACTAGTGCTCCCTTTCACTTCCTGAGTGGGAAAGAAACACACAGCACGAACATTCCACATATCAAAGCCCCTGGAAGGGCAGGGCAAAGGGTTAGAGCTCGTCCTAGGCTCCGAAATGTCTTTGACAATCATATGGAATTGTCGGTGTCCTAAAAAACAAAACTCAAATAATCAAAAGTCTCTATGTACAAAATACAAACCCTTCACCTGGACTCTCAGGTCTTCCTCCGCATGGCCCACCCCAGCTTCCCTCTCCCACCACTCTCCTGACTGTAGCTTCACAGGCCTTTCGGCAAATTTCCTTCATGTCTCTGAGCCGCAGTTTCTTCATCTCTAAACTGGAGTTAATCGTTCATTTCGTACTGTGTTATGGTACAAACTCTAAGTACTATTAGCAAATCAATTTTGATAAAAACGCAACTAGAAGTGAATTCTCGCACAGGATCTGGCATGGAGCAGGTTTAACAGGTCTCAGTCCCCTCCCAGCCCAGTCTGCAGCCAACTGGAGCACAGCCTTGTATTCATGGCTCAGCTCTGCTAACTTGCCCCCCACTCCCCCCTCACCCAGACACATTTTATATCACTTCCAGCACTGAGGCACCTCTAAAATGCTACCACCTCCAAAATCCTCCCCCGAACCGGCTCTTCTCATATAACTGTTTATGCCCACACCTCCTCTTCCACCTACAATGTTTAAGCTCATTGAGGGCACAAACTTTGTCCTGTTTTATACGTCTTGCCGGGAGCCACTGAGACCAGCCTGATCCACCCAGGACCACACCCCTGCTGGCTCACCAAGTGCTACTCAGTGTTCCAGGCAGCCACCCAAGCATTCCCTCACTCCCGACCTGCTCTTGCATTCATCCCATTTCCACCCGACACCCACTCTTGAATCTATGATTCTGACCTCAGGCCTTACCTCTGGCCTTCCAGATGGGGGTTATTTGTTCTCTCCAGCTTGGCCCAAACCTTTGACTCCTAGCTGTCCCCACTGCTGGCTTTTATCCCAAAGACCCCAATCCCTGCCCTGGTGTTACACGGCTATGCTGTCTAGGCCTTTGTAACCAGAACTGTAGTGAACATTCGTAAGTATGTGTGTGTGTATGTGTATACATGTGTGTATGAATATAGATTCCAAAGATGGCTGAGATGTCCCCAAGTGACTATATGGCAGAGCAATGAAAGTCAATCAAAGCCAACTTCTCCTGGCTTAGAGTCACCATTTTCCTGCCATTTCCTGTGTTTTCCCACTTGCTGGGAGGAAAGAAGACAAGAGTTGTACATCTGGTCCTAACAGGCCTAAAGTGAGATACAGGGTGAGGCATGGTGAGGGGCTTGCTTGTATTCTGGGGAGACAGATGCCAGCAGGAGTCCCTGGATGCAACAGCCCTTGACCAGCCCCAAATCTAAAGATTCATGAATGACTCTAAAAACTCTCATAGAGGGTTGGTCACTCAGTGTTTGAGCCAATGGCTGGGGTGTGAGACCCCAAAGCTTTGACCTAACCAGGCTCGGGGAAGACCCGTCTGGGACTCCCGAAGCCATGCGGTGTGAAGGGAGAAGTGTGTTGTCGCCACCCTGAATTCAGAGCGGGTGAGATAAAGTAGGACAGGTCATGATGTGAGCAGCTACAGAGCCTCTCTCGACGCGCCTTGCGGGGAAGGTGTTTCTCCCTCCTTCGGTACTCTTTTATTGGGTCCCTTCTATTCCAGTCGGGCACTGTGCTGGGCCCTGGAGCTACAGTGATGAGGGAGACAGATGCAGGCCCCACCCTCACAGAGCCTGCAAGAGTTACAGACAATCAAACAAGGAACAACAATGGAGTATGTGACCCGGGGAGTGTATGGGCATCTAGGAGCACTTGGCAGGCTGGGTGGGTGGGGAGAGAGGCGGCTAGGGTTAGTCAGGGAGGACTTCCTAGGAAAGGTGACAGTTTAAGGGAGACTAGAGTTTTAAGCCACTAAACAGCAGGTATGAATGACCAGTGACCAGAGAAAGGACATCCCCTGCTGGAACAGAGAGCAGTGGCTGGTTGGAGCACAGAGGGCAGTGGGGTGGAGGAAGATGAGGCTTGAGAGGTGAGAGGGTGCCGG